CAGGGTTAGAGGAGAAAATCATGATTTCTAGGTTGGACATTTAAGATGTGTATTAGACGTACAAATGGAGATATCAGATAGACAATAGGATATGTGAATCTGGAATTCAAGGAAGAGACCAGAGCAAGAAATAAAATATGGGAGTGATCAGCATATGGCTGATATTTAAAACTGTGGGACTGGATGAGAATATTTAACAGCATAAATGAAGAAACTGTCCCAAGACAAAGCCTTAGACCGTAACATTTAGTAGTCCAATGGGAATCTTCAAAGAGAGGAGAAAAGTTTGATGATGACGGAGGTGGGACCCGGGGAGGGGCAAGGTTCATTTGAGAAGCAAAGTCATCGAGAAGGTAAGAAGGAATAGAATCCACAGTACAGATAGAAGGAGGAGTCTCTGAAACAGAGTATGGCCCAAAGTGTGGCTCCAGGTGCAAATGGGTGTGCAGGGATGAGGGAGGTCACACTTGGGAAAGAGGTGAGGCCACGAGGTAACAAATGAGAAAGTGAACATTCTGGGGAAGTGCAGTAGAATGGCCAGGCAGTGTTAACTGGCCATTTGACATTTGTGGTCATGAATTTAAAGGGAAACTAGTCCCTGCAATAACGTAATTCCTCCTCCATCCATCTGCCCCAGCATTCAGTTGTTCAGGTGCAGGCATGGCTCAGGCAGTTTAATTAGGCCTAGGTTTTACCGAGTACCTGGGATAGAGACAGGATATGGGGTGGGGCAAGCTGCTGCCTGGTTATAATGATGGATATGGTATATAAGCAGAGTTAGAAGGAAACAGATGATAGGAGAAAGTGGGAGTACTAGACTAAGTAAGCCAGAAGGATGATAGGTGAATGCTTAAAAGCTTGAATAGTAAATAATACAGTTATCACTGATGACAGTGTCAAGAACGTGACCATGGGACTGGGTGCCTGAAATGAAGTGTTCCCCAGGATTCCATTTTTGAAATTCTTCTTCTTCTTTTATTTGCATATCTTGGATGATTTCAATTGAACTCATGGCTTTAATTATTATCTATAGCTTCCAAATATATATCTCTGATCCAGACCTATCTTCTGAGATCTGGACTGATACATTATATCCCATTGTCTACTTGACAATCTGTTTGAGTCCTAAGTTGCCTCTAACTTAGCATTATTCAAAATCGAATGCATTTCCTTCATTCATATATTAATTAAAAACTTTTATTGAAAATATCCTCCATGCTAGAATCTGTGCTAGAATCTTGGGAATCAAAAATAAATAAGACCTTACCCTTAATGGGCTGCTTTTGCTGTTTTTCCTTTCTCAATAAATGGCATTGATGTCACCCAGTCACTCAAGCCAAAATCTAGAAAGTCATCTGTCTGAGGTCAGGTTTCCTAGAACCTGAGATGGAGATTCTTGTGACAGTGATTTGTTGAGGGAGTATTCTCAGCAGAAGGGGAGTGAGGGAAGCAGGCTAGAGGAGCAGAGGAAAGCTAAACAAGGATGAGGCCTCAGCTAGAGATCAGTTTAGCCTGGTCTCACCAGGATCTTGAAGCATGAATAGCACAACACAGTTTGCTTCCCTGAAGACAAGATCTCTGGCATTTTGTGCCCCTGTGTCAATCAGTCATTGCCCCTGAGAGGGGAAGGAATGGGATGAGGGGGGATTGCAACTTCCCAGATGAGGCAAAAGCCTCCAGTTCAGCTGAGGGCAGGTCTCCAGAGAAGTGGCCAACTGTGAGCTGTTAGCAGCCAACACCCACAGCAGCTGGAAGAGAAAGGCACCAGCCTGGAGAAGGGGATCCAGGTAGAGCACCAACAGCATCCACTATGGTCCACCTCTTGAACCACTCAGATCCATGTTCTTCTCACATTGTTCATTCCATTCTGGTATAGCTTTTCCAAGATTCTTGTTGGTCATAATTTCTAGGAAAACTTATAAGAGGAGGGTTAGTGGGACAAACTATAGCACCTGATGCTGCAATTGGTCTCAAGGACTTAACTGATACTCATCATCTCCTCACCCTTCTAGATTTCCCTCCCCCTCAGCTGGCACTTCTGTTGATCCAGGTGGCTTGCCCTGTGGGGGAGCCCCTGGTTCCCAAGCCTTTATCAGGATGTGGTTTGCCATTTACAGTTAAAATTGGGTATGAGAATACCAAAAGACCACCGCAGTGGATCACCTGACTACCAAACATATCCCTCACTGCCTCCATTAGGTAGCAGTGGTCTTACCTCTTCATGATAATTAGGGTCAGTTACCTCTGCCAGTATAGTACCTCTTTTCTGTGCTTCTAATCTGTTGGCATGAGGAGCCTAATGTGACTAGGTGCCAGCCAAAGCTTTGAGTTTTGTGAGACTCTTACAAGTCTCTTGGTGGAGACATTCCCCCTCTGAAACCCAGGACCTCTAGAGCAACAGAGCCTAAAGATACAGAGACAAAAGGTACAAATTCTCCCAGTGATTCAACAGAAGTGGTAGAGTAGAGCCATTCCTACGTCCTCCCTTTTGTTCCCAGATCTGTGTAGTCTACCTGTTGGAAACACAGTAGCATATAATAGCCATTGGTTTAAAGTCTATACCATATCCTGAAGAATGGCACCCCATCCTCATAGGATATGCTCTCCAAGCTGATGTCTCAGCTGTGCCTTCCAGAAGCCTATTAGGCTAGCATCTTCTGAAGGGTGCTGTATGTGGTAGGACCAATGGATACCATAGTCATGCCCCCACTGCCATACTCCTCTGCTGTAAAGTAGGTTCCTTTACTATTAATCAGGATCCCATGTCAGTAAATCAGTCACTCTGTGGTCCCTCAGGTAGTGGTCCTGGCCAGAGCTCTGCAGGCGGGAGAGGCAAACCCATAGAGTACATGTCAATTCTGGTAAGGATAAAACATTGCCCTTTCCAAGGTGTAAAGGACCTGATGTAATCTAATTGCCACCAATAGGCTAGTTGGTCTCCTTGAGGGATGGTGCCATATCAGGAGCTCAGCTTTGGTCTCTACTGCAAGCAGATCAGACAATCAACAGCAGCAGTAGCTGGATTAACCTTGGTGAAAGGGAGACCATGCTTTTGGGCCCATACGTATTTCCACTGGAGTGGCCAGAGACAGAGGCTAGATCAAGTCATCCTGTCCGTTTCTCAGATGCTCTGTCTCAACCAGGGCTCAATGACAGGAACTGCTTCACAAATAGTATACAGTTTTCTGCTATAGATGGCATGACCTTGCTCCCAAATCTTACGGGTTTGCAATACAACTTTCCCATTGAAACGTGCAGAGGCTCCACAAGGCATTTTTCTTTACCACAGATTCTTCTACTACGGGATCTGCTGAGTCATTTGGCCCAAGTAGCAGGACAGCTCGTACCCCATTCCCAGTCTGCTGCAGAGCCCTTTCTTACTCTGGGCCTTGCTCAAAAAAACAGCTTTCTGTGTCACCCAATAAATGAGTCAGATTATTCCACCCAAGAGTGGAATATGCTGCCTCCAAAACCTGAAGAGACCTACCAAGCTTTATGCTTCTTTTGTAGTGATAAGAAATACAAGGTGCATTAATTTGTGCTTATGAGATGTCCTGACATGCTCCATATCACTAGACACCTAAAAACAACGTGTCAAGCCCCTGAATCTTTTATGGGGTGTATCTTCCACTGTCTGGAGTACATGTGGGTCTTTTCAAGCCTTCGATGTGCTTGCCACTTCTTGCTCATGAGGTCTTATTAGCATTATATTAACGTTAATATATGACATCCTATAGACTGTAGTCCTTGGAATGCCCAGATGATCTAGGCTCATTCAGAATTTATTGTGACATCATCATAAAACATAACATAAACATAAAACATAACATTGGGGCAAGAACGTGGATGTATATTCTTGTCCATCCCATGTGAATGCTAACTGCTTCTGATCCCCCTCCTCATTGGGTATTAAAAAGAATACATTTGCCAGAACAACAGCAGCATACCATGTACCAAGGCTGTGATAACCTACATAATAAAGATACTCTATCTGGCACAGCAGCTAAGTTTGGGGCTACTACAGGGATAAGTTTGCCGTACTCCACTATCATCTGCCAAGGTCCATACACTTTTGGCAGGGGCCAGACTTGTGAACCAAATCCGCCTATAATGAAGTTCACCTGCATACAGATTGTTGACTCTTCAAACACTTTATAAAGTCCCATTCTTCATACTAAAACAAAAGTTGAAGAAGAGTCTAGGGACCACAGAAATGGAAAATTAAAGTACAAATTTCCCCAACTTATTTTTTTAATTAACATAAAAATTATTTTGAATGAGGGACTGTAAAATTATCTAATATTGCCCTTTATTCCTCAGCCACGGATTGTGTGTGTGTGTGTGTGTGTGTGTGTGTGTGTAAGCACTGAACAGGTCACAAACAGTTTAATAGCATTTCCACATGACCATGAAGGGTGGAAGTGGGCACTCATCACTGAGGCTTTCTCAACCGTAATTGGACAAACAAGATACAACCAGCATCGTGGCCCTCCCCACTGAGAAACCACTCTTAACCCTGAGATGTAGCAGGCAGCCAGCCCTTCCCACCTGGCTAACTCCAAGCTGCAGTTAGCCCCCTTATTAAGCCAATCCTTAATTTCTTTTTTCCAAATAAGCTTTCTTTACCCAATCCTCCTATAATCTTTACTTTAGCTTTTTGGAGTTGCCTATTTTCAGATGAAAATCGTTGGCTTTGCAAATTAGTGGAGTATGTTTTAGGTAGGTTCCATGGTAATTACGTTGTCCCTGCATTTGCATTTGGACACTATAATATTCATTTCTAGAGCTTTGTAATGTAATGGAGCTGTGATGTTTCAGTTCCTTGAGGATTTCATTAGCAGTGACTACATTACACTGGTAGAGGGAGTTCAGCTTAAGATGTATTATTTCATTAAGAGTGCAGTGTTTGACAATATGTCAGGGACACAGCATTCCTGGAAATATGAAGATTTAAAAGGCTTTGTGTTCCTCATCTAACTTTTCCTTCTTTCTTTCTTTAGTCTCCCCCAGACATGTCCTTCCCAGCTTCTGTGGCTGCACAGCATTTCCTTCTGGAGGAAGAGAAGCGAGCAAAAGAACTTGAAAAACTTCTAAATACACATATTGATGAACTGCAAAGACATACAGAATTTACTCTTAATAAATACACCAAGCTAAAACAAAATAGACACATATGAGCTTTTAAACTTTTTTATTTGCTTTCCCCACCCCAGGAAAAAAAACTCTGGCAAAATATTTACAAAGCTGATTAATGAAACTGAGAAATTTTGTTCTATTTTCTTGAGTAAATCATTTTGTAAGGCAGCTAGAAAATAGTAAGTATTTTCTTCGATAAAGCTGTTTGTACTTCTGCATTAACATGATAAATTGTTTGGCTGTAGAGTACTATAAAATAAACATGACTACTCCAAAAGAGATTTTTCTTATAGTCTAAGAATATTTTGGAATTAAATATGCAGTTGTTTTCCCACCTGAATCATGTATACTGAAAACCCAGTTCCGCTATAACAGCACAAAAGGAGGGAAAGGGAAGCACTGTATTCCAAATATAAATGAATCAAGTGCAGCTCGGTTGTACTAGGTTTGAAAACTGAAGGATTTTTATAAATGAAAATATTAAGTATTTTGAGCTATGTAAACATCCTAAAATTTCTTTTAGGGAAAAAAAAAAGATATAGCTTTACTGTCGCTGCATTCACCTGTGTAATGTTTCTGTTTTAACACAATAAAAGACATGGAATGTGCTGTTTACACACTTAAAATACATGTGCCAAAGATTAATGCTTTCCTGTTAAGGCTAATTACTTCATGGAATGAACAAGATAAAGAAAATGTAAAGCATTATTGTTGTTACATTCTCCTTTGTAATCATCTCTATTTTTAATAGGTTAAAGGGGTACAAAATTCTATGGACTTAAAACATAAATGCCAAACCTGTACAGAACAGTAATAGCATGATAGTGAACAATAAAATTCAAGTTACAAATATACAAGCGTGATAATCCATTCTTCTTTCTTTCAAAATGACGTTTATATAAAGATTATGAAAAATCCTATGTAGTTATTCAAGGTAAGTCCCACAGCTTTTGTAGTTTTCTTTTTCTCTTTAAAGAAACCAAATCTCAGCACACTGAAAGATAACTCAAGATATCTTTAGATAACTAATGTCATTGTCGTGTGACAAATGCAGAGCATGATTCACTTTGGGTGACACAACCATGTGGATTTGTATAGCTCTTGATATTTGCAAAAAGCCTTCACATAGCAGTATTCATTTCAGCCCAAAACAAGCCTGTGAAGTCAGCAAGGCTAGTAGCCTCGTTCCTGAAAATCAAGCTGTTAAGGAACTTACTCAGAATCACGGCGAGCAAGAGTCAGGAACCCCTGGCTTCTGACTCCTGGCTCGAGCTCTTTCTCTCACCAGCATCACCTCTTGTAAGCAAGCAGACGGTGAACAATCTGTATCCACAGAGGCCATGTTTCATGACAAAACATCAGAGGGGTACAAAGCCTTTAGTGTACCCCAAAAAGCCCCATATGAGAAAAATAATAAAAGTTATGATACTTTTAAATTATTTAGTAATTTCTAGCCTGGACACAAAGAAAATATTTTTCAGTATTCTCTTTGGAAGATGAGGAAAAAAAGTATGTTTAGGAAAAGGGCATTCCATAAACAAATTCTAAAACCTTTGTATCCCCAATGCAAATCCAAACAACGCAAAAGTTTAAATATACATCTCGTTATAATCCTCTAAGCCTGAATGCCACTTCCTTCTCTTCAGGGTTAAGATGTGATTGAAAATGGTGTGATGAAATCAGATCCAGGCTACAATGCCTTAGACCTTAGCAGAGTCAAGGGAGCATGAACTTAGAGATGTCCAAGACTAACGGTGCATTTGCCCCTCCGGATTATTATTTCAGGTCCATAAGCAAACTTCTTTTAAATCACTAGTTTAGCATTCCACTTAATACCAGCTTTCTTAAAACAGCGGTTTTCAATATTTTTTGCTTAACAGCAGGATTCAGTGTTCAAAAGGAATCATATGCTGAAGCCCAACATGTATATAATCAAGATAAAAAGCAGGCAGCTCTGGTTGCATGTTGAAAGGAGTGAGGCCTACCTGCTGTTCATCCTCGCTCTGCCCCCTCTTCTACCTTCCACGGGCCAAGGGATTCCATGAAGCAGTTGCCCCTGATGTTGTGAGAGGCAGATTTGCTCTGTTATTACCTTAGCATGGAAGACATTTTCCTACAGAAACCATGTCCTGGATAATGGTTATAACTTCCTCCATATCACAAAAGCCAAGCTAGCCCATGATGTAGCTAAAACATGATGGAAGGAGCAGGAGGGAAACAGGAGAAAGACCAATGTGGCCATCTAACACTGGGAGTCAGCTCAAAGAGGAAGTGTGACTTGAGTTAACTTTTGCCTCATAACGGCTTAAATATATACTTTCACTTCTCAATTATCCAGGAGCAGTTGAACTGGTTTGGGAATTAAGCAAATTGGGAGAGGGAGGGCTGCTGGAAAATCGTGATAACCCTCAACCTTCAACTAAAACAAAATGATAGACAATTCTTGATTATCTATCAACAGCTGCTCTGGCTACGTGGAGTTTAGAGTCTCCAGTACCATCATCCCGAGACTCTGCCCCACCCAGACCCTGACTATCTCCTTCCACTCTGGGAGAGCAATCAGAGCTAAGCAGCTTCGGCTGCCTAATTAAGAGGCCTGTTTGGAGGTGAGTTTGTCTAGGTCCCTGCTATGCCTAATAGTTCATCTGACCCAAGCAACCTAGAAACAATTGTAGTTTTAACAGTGATGTGGGGTTATCCCCACCCCATCCTGTCATCTCACTTAATGTAAATTTCTTCTTTATATATGTGCCTCCTGTCTCTCCAACTGGCCCAGAAGCTCCCAGAAGAGAGTAGTATTCCTAGGCTTCTTTGCCTCCCATGTGTATCTAGCACAGGTCCTGGTCATGGGAAGTATTTGATAAGTAGTGATTGATGGGTGGATTGAATCCAGACATGGGGGCTGCTTTTAGAAAAGGCAAGGAGGAGAGGAAGTTTGGGGCAGTTTAGGGTACAATGACAAAATACTAGGCATATCAAATTGTCAGCTGCAGAAAAGTGCACAAACTGAATTTGTCTGAATGTTAATAGGAATAGGGGGAGATTTTCACCCATACTTGACCTCACATAGGACCATCTGAGTATCTATGCACTCCTTTTATATGTTTCAACTAATGTCTAACAGGAATCTACTACAGAACATTAGCCATGGTGCTTAATGCTCAGAGCAAATGAAACCATAAGAGTCCCAGAACTTGAGCAATGCAGTGGAAAGTGTGAGGGAGATTTGGACCCAAAGACTTAAACTAGCAACCGAAACCCTGCACAACCTTTCCAGCCCTATAGTCGAGAGCATCACCAGGAGCTGACCCTTAAGAGATCAAACATTCTAAACTGATGTGAGGCTCTTTTTCCTACAGTGAGGCTGCACTGGATGACCCAAAGATGATAATAAATGGGCCTACTGAGTCCTGGCCGAGGAAAAAGCCTGGGGAAAAGTTTTCATGACCTCTGGGGAACTCCCAGGGCAGAGGTGAGGCAGAAGCGTTGGCACAAGTCACAGAAGTCAACCAGGCAGTGTTCAAAAGCTGCCACTCATCACCATCCTCCAACATGGGTCAAGAGGGATCACAGTTTTGTAACAAGGATAAACACAACACGAGTCAGAGTCAGGCAGGCAATTACTGTCTTGGTGACCAACAGTCACATCACAGAGCAGAACTTCTAGGTGATCTAGAATAGCAAGATTTCAAACAGGCAAGCCTTCAGCAGGGCCAAGCATAGAATGAAGGAGGTGCTCAGAGCTACCTAGCTGGCCCCAAGACCAGGTTAGAAATTCTTAGGTCTTAAAGGTTCTCAATACATTAGGACTGGTTAGATCTGTTGGAGGCAAGGGATTCTCCATGCCACGGCCCTGGGACCTTAAAGAAGCTTCCTTTTTCTTATCTGTAGAACAGGCATAATACTACTACCTGTGTCAGAGGACTGTTGTGAGGATAAAAGGAGATAATGTACAGAAAGAGGTTAGCACAGGGTCTGGAACATAGCGAGCACTCAGGATATGCTAGTTGTTAGCATTTGTTGCCATCCTTGCCCTCTGAGGCATCAGGTCTGAGCTCAGAAGATGAAATATATCCTCAAAGAATAATACTATCAGTTATTGAGGACCATGTACCAGCCCCTATACTATAAATTAAACTCATTTAATCATTAACAGTTTTATTAAGAAATAATTTACATACCATAAAATTCACCCATTTCAAGGGTATAATTCAATGATTTTTACTAAATTAACAGAGTTGTGCAACCATTGCCACAACTCAATTTTAGAACATTTCCATCACACCAAAAATATCCCTTGTGCCCATCTGCAGTCACTCCCTCTTCCCATGTCCAACCCCAGGCAGCCGCTGAACTACTTTCTGTCTCTGTGATTTACATGGACATTTCATATAAATAGATTTGTATAATATGTGGCTTTTTGCATCTAGCTTCTTTCCTTTAGTATACTTTTGTGGTTCATATTGTACCATGTATCGGTATTTTTTTCTTTTTTTATGGCTGAATGGTATTTTGTTGTATGAATAAACCATGTTTTGTCTATCCATTTCATCATTTGATGGACATTTCACTTGTTTCCAGTTTGGGGCTACTATGAATAAAGCTGTTAGGAACATTTACATACAAGTCTCCGTGTGGACATGTTTTCGTTTCTATTTGAGTAGATTCCTAGGAGCAGAATTTCTGAGTCACATGGTAAATTTATGTTTAACTTTGAAAAGGAACTGTTAAACTGTTTTCCTAAGTAGCTGCACAATTTTACAGCCCACCAGAAATGTGTGTTCCAATTTCTCCATATCTGCTTCCATATTTGCTATTGTCTATCTTTTGATTATAATTATTTCAATTTAAGTGTGTGTGAAGTGATATTTCATTCTGGTTTTAATTTGTATTTCCCTAATGACTAATGATTCTGCACCTTTTTTTTGTATGCTTATTGACCATTCATGTATCTTTTTTGCTGAAATGTCTATTCAGATCTTTTGCCCATTTAATAATTATTTCTCTTCTTATTGAGTTATAAGAACTCTTTATATATTTTGGGTATAAGTCCTTTATCAGATATATGATTTGCCTTTTTTTCTCCCAGTCTATTGCTTATCTTTTCATTTTCTTAATAGTGTCTTTTGAAGCACATGTTTTTCATTTTGATGTAGTACATTTCATCCATTTTTTTCTTTTATGGATCGTGCTTTTGGCATGATATCTAAGAAGTGTTTGCACAACTCAAGGTCACAAATGTTTTCTCCTAAAAGTTTTATAGTATCAGCTTTTACATCAGGTTTATGATCCATTTTGAGTTACTGTTTTTGTATAAGGGTGTAATAAGGGTCTAGAGTCATCTTTTTATGTGTCTATATCCCATTGTCCCAGCACCATTTGGTGAAAAGACTATTCTTTCCCCCACTGAAATGTCTTGACACTTTTGGTGAAAAATCAATTGACCATAAATATAAGGGTTTATTTCTGGACTCAATTCAGTTCCATTGATCTAGATGTCTATCCTTATGCCAGTACCACATAGTCTTAATTATTGTAGCTTTGTAGTGAGTTTTGATATTGGGAAGTATAAATCCTCCAGCTTACAAGACTGTTTGGGCTATTTTGGGCCCATTGTATTTCCACGTAAGTTTTAGGATTAGCTTGTCAGCTTCTCAATTTTTGCAAAACAAAAAAGCCTACTGGGATTTTGATAGGGATTAAAATGGCAATTTTCTCCAAATTGACTTATACTGAATCTCAATTTGGGGAGAATTACCATTTAATAATATTGAGTCTTCCAATCAATCAGTGAACATGAAATATCTCTCCCTTATTTG